GCGTCTGTGCCTTCAAACATGTCGAAGCCGTCGCCAAGCAGGCCTCGCAGGTGGTCCTCGCACGCGCGCCAGCGGTCGGGACGCCGCCGGAGAGAGATGGCGGTAACACGAATCGGCGACCGCGGCGGCGCTGGCATTCCACAGTCGGGCATGGGGCCCGGGGCGCGACTAATAGGGCGACTAATAGGGCGCGAAGCCATTGTTGTGAGAAGAAAATACGTGGGTGGCGCTATGTTCACGTAAACGCACAACCCCGGGCCCCTATGTTCACATAAACGCACAACCCCGGGCCCGCCCATTCACGAGTTTGTTTCTCAAATTCTTTTGCAGAAGAGAGAGAGAGAGAGAGAGAGAGAGAGAGAGAGAGAGAGAGAGAGAGAGAGAGAGAGAGAGAGAGAGAGAGAGAGAGAGAGAGAGAGAGAGAGAGAGAGAGAGAGAGAGAGAGAGAGAGAGAGAGAGAGAGAGAGAGAGAGAGAGAGAGAGAGAGAGAGAGAGAGAGAGAGAGAGAGAGAGAGAGAGAATCACAGACAGCGGGGAGGAAAGCGGCGAGTCGCAATTCCATCCAGGGGTCGTTGTGGTTGGTGGCGGGACACCCTGTTAGGTTAGACCTCGGTGGCGAAGTGCTCCAGTGAACGGATGTTGCCCAAATGTGCAGAGTTAGATTGCTTAAAAGCATCGCGAGCTCCCAGCAGCGGGCGGAGAGAGAGTCGCCCGAGTTGCCGGTGGTGATGCGGGTGGCGCGGGTGAAGTCAAGGGAACCCGAGCCGAGGCGAGTAATACAGCTTGTTCGCGCTTGTGCCAGGCTGGAAGCAGGTCGAGAGGGGGGGGGTTTGTTGTTTCGACAGGTGGCGGTACGCGTGATCAAAGGTGACCGTCTTCGGGTGAGCACGCGTGAGCTCTTGCAGGTCTCGCACCGCAACTGAGTAGGTGGTGAGCAGCACGCCACCGCCAGCATTCCTTGAGCAGCTGCGGATCGGGTGTTCCAGGGGGTCACGACACGCACCGACCCTTCACGAACCGAAAGGCTGTGCCCGGGGAAGGCCCACCAACCATCACTTTAGTTCGTATTACGTATAGTACCTCACCTTCACCCTTTCCAGTGATTTCTTTTTTAGTTTCCCATAAGTATGGTAGGTAGGTAGGTAGGTAGGTAGGTAGGTAGGGGCAGGGCAGGGGCCGGCCACGGTTCCCAGAATTTCAGCTTGAGTTCCGCAAAAAAGATGAGAAGTGACCCGAGCCGCCGGGTGCCCCGCAGCGGCCTCGCTGGACCAGAAGAACCGGTCCGCGAGTGCTCCGCAGCAGCCTCGCTGAGCCAGAACGTCGGCTCGGGGACTACTAGTATGAGCCCGACCCAGGTCGTAGTGTTCTTGCTCCCAGCGCTTGCGCTTCGCGGCTTCGGCGGTTAGTGGTGCACTAACCTCCGAGAAACCCTTCGGGTCGCTCCTCATCGCAAACCCTGTCAGTAGAGTCTCCTACGGGAATGTACGTAAGAGCTACATACACTGAGAGAGAGCTAGCTAAAAGTACGTACACTGAGAGAGGTAAAAAAGAATACACACCCCAAACTTCGGGAAACTTTGCCGAAATCCCGTCCCCCCTTGGAGTGCCTTGCTGGAACACGATGAGTGTGAGTGTCTTCTTCACCTTTGTCGCGCTCGCAGCCGCCGCGCCGACGGCACAGCGCTCTGTAATCTTCTCGCGAGTGCCCCTGCGTGTGAGCAAGGCACGTATTCCGCTCCTCTTGCCTCAGCCAGCCCGCACCGCCGCGCTCGACAGCATCATTCCCGCCGACCTCTCCGAGGCGGTGCCGCGCCTTCCGGACGGTGACCGGGCAGACTCCATGACCTTCACCGAGCTCTGTGACGCCATGGCATCCGTCAACCGCGGAAAACAGCAGCAGCAGCCAGGGCTGTGGTAGGCCGGCTCAGACGCTCGGCCCGAGATCGTGACTTCTCAATTCCTGCAACGGCGCCTCTGCCTTCCTTCCATAGGCGACGAGCTGCTGGTTTGGCGTGATGGAGCATACCTCGCATGGAGTACGCATGTCGCATGCCATGGATGCAGTGGGTCGTGCCTGTTGCTATACGTACGTGCTGAGTGATTGCGGGTCCACCCGGACAGATGTTGAATTCATGTTTGTCGACCCAGGCTGTGTTGCGGCGGTCGGTGTCTCGTCTAGCTAGAAGGTGTGAGTCGCATGCGATTGTTGCCGCTGGGCGTGATCTGTCACAGCGATGCGCGAATACGTTCGTGAAAGCCGCGTCGAGAGTGGCCGCAAGCCGCAAGCCCGCGCCGTGCGGCATCTACAGAGATTCATGTGTAGTATTGTAGAGTATAGCGCGCTATGGCATTCTACCACGGAGGGGCCGCACCTCCTCTGCGCCCACACGCCACAGGCACAGCGTCTCTCTGCCCAGAGAGTGCAGAGCCAGAGGTTCCAGAGCGACGTCGCGCAAAGTGTTGACTTTTTTATGACACACACACAATATAGAGCCGTATCAGGACCCGTCACACCAGACGACGCAGGGCAGACGACGGTGAGGCGGAGCAGACGCGCAGAGTGAGACGAGGGAGGGAGCAGGACGTTGCGGAGATCAGCAGGAGGATGTACGAAGAGATTAGGAGCAGCAGGGACCCGAGGGACCATGTGGAAGACGGCTAGTGCTAGTCCCCCATCGCGCATCGGGAGGACGACCCCGGCTAGTCGCCGACCACACCCACAAAGAACCCTGCACAAAGATCGCAAGGGCGGGGACCTGTTCCTTTTTACCCATCTCACAGTAGAGGTGTCCGTTTTTATTTATTTATTTACACACACATCTCGAGACACCACATCGATGTGCCCAATTTTGGCGCCTCACTGTCACTCAGACCACGCCAGCCACTCATACTCGTCGCGCGCCGCCCTCGCGGCCTCCTCGTCGCCGGACGCCTCCGCCGCGTCGGCCGCGAGTAGTCAGCCGGAGGCAGCACGCGCCCGCGTCGTCAAAGACGACGACATTGCCGCGTGGACACACTCCGCAGCATGCCCCGGCGAGGACAGAGACGGACTCGTGTGAGGAGGACAGAATGGCGCATGCTGCCTCCATCACGCCCGCGGAGCCAGCGTCTTGCACGCTCCACCGGCGCAGATGGAGACGCTGCGGCGGGAGAGCGAGCACCAGCGCCAGAGGAGCCGGAGTCGGTCTGTGGTCGGTCTGGCTGAAGCATGGTGTCCATATCGCTCTGCCGATCGAAGGCGGCGCAAGATTTTTCCTTTCGGGCGGCTTCGGGTTGTCTTGGGTTGTTATTATCTAATGCTGTGGGTGACCCTTCCCACCCCCTCTCCGTGCCCTCTCCCCGCTCGTTCTCGCTAAGACCCTAACAACAAAAGTGCACCTCGATCCTGTACCGTGTTTGTTATGACCCCCCCCCCCCCCCCCTGAACACACCAATGTGCAGTGAGGGAGGGCGAGACGATCGAGGGGTCCAGTACCATGTCGCATGTGGAATCGACCCTATCCAGTGCTCAAGTGCTCAACAACAAAAAGACAGGGGCTCCGTCTTCGCACCGGCGGCGACCGGCTGGGGGGAAGGGAGGGGGGAGGGGGGGGGGGGGGAGGAGGAGGAGCGGGAGGGGTTTCTTCATGTATGTATGTAGGAAGGGAAGAACAGTCAGCTGTCAGGCTCGGACTGGACACCAACGCGGTATGGGTGGACGCTGGACAGATGATGACGACACGCACGAGCGACACACAGACACAAACAAGCTCACAAGACACACAGCCAGCCAGCGGGCTGCCACACACCCTGAGTGGGCGTACACATCACTCATACAAGGCCACGTCCCCCCTGTCGCCCCCCCCAGCACTCCAAGGTGCCAAGAGACAAACAACAGCACAACAACACAGACACGCGACAGGGGCGAACGTGTGAGACTAGATCTCTGCGAGCACTTGGAGCACTTGGAGTGCAGTCGGCAACCGCACACCCAGGGCCGGGGAGCTGAGAAGCGCACCCAGCGGGCCGGATGATTGGCATCGGGTTGCGGGCAAGAGAGCCCTAGCCCAGGGGGTGCGCGTTCGCAGGGAAAGGGCCGTAAAGTAAACACGGGTCTCCGAGGGTTGGCTCCGCGCTCCGGGTTTCCCCTAGCAGCAGACCGCCCCCTCTACTCGGAGCTATAATGAACACCAGACATGCACACGACACGCACTCTCACACGACGTCACCGCCCAGGGCCTCTTCGCGCGAGGTCCTCATCCTCACTCCGGAGGAGGCCCCCCTCTCCTCTGAGTTCTTCCTCTTGTGAGAGGCGGATTTTTGTTTTTCTCGCCGTTACATTTCGCGCGGGCTCTTGAGCAAAACACAACTTATGGCCGGTCCGCCCGCCTCCCGCTCCGAGCTGCTGCGCCGGCGCCGCGACGAGACGATCGCCGACCTGCAGCAGAGCCACGACGCACACCTGGCCAGCAAGCCGCAGTTCGTGCCCTGCGATGACGGCCGCGACCGGTGCGACTCGGCTGCGGGTCAGCGGTACCAATCGCGGACGCACATGCTAGCCTTTCGTGCTGCCGACGCGACGCAGGCGTCCGTGTGCGCGGCGGGCGGAGATGCAACCTCCTCGTACCACCCGTCAGTCGCCGGCCACCTCCCTCCGCGGCGGGACGACGCCGGGTACGCCCTCATGGTCACCTCTCTCAGCCGGCCGGACGCAAAGGACCCCACTCTCGCGTGGGTGGAGGATCCTCTGGTGGCGAGCCGATCCGAGCTGGTCGCCAAGCGGCGGGCCGAGGCGGCCAGGGACCTCGTCGCCTCCGCGGAGCAACCGCACAGGCCAGGTGCGGACCAGCGGCGGCGGCAACGGATCGAGGAGGCGGTCGCATACCTGCAGCGGGCGCCGCAAGGCAGGTCGCGACGGGAAATGATGGCGGATCGGAGGCGACGGTGCGTCGAGGAGTCGCAGGCGACGGTCGCGGCCAGCTCGCTCGCGCGCGAGGAGCGCGCGCTCTACGCCCGGCAGGCGCGGCCTTTTTGGGAGCTGCAGCGCGAGGCCGAGGCGGAGGGCGGGCGGGGCGAGGAGTACGGAGGGGTCCCCTCATCGGGCGTGTCGTCTCACGAGGAGCTGCGCGCGAGGAGGATGTGGTGGGCCAAGCCCGAGGTCTACTCCGCCATCGGCCGACCTCCCCTCGCCGCCGACCCCTTCAAGATCGACCAGGAGGGGCCGGAGCGCGCCGCTGGTAGCGGGAGGAAGGCTGCGCGGCCGCCAGACGAGAAGCTCACCTCCGCGCCGGCGCCGCCCCTCGAGCCGCGGCCAAAGCAGGTCAAGGTTGGCAAGGAGACGAAGCCCACCACCCTGAAGCGCTTCACCGACGCCATCCTCATCTTTCGGGAGCCCGCGGAGGAGCAGGAGGGCGGCTCGCGCAGAGAGGGCATCGAGTTTACCGCGCCGCTCTACTCCTCCTTCCAACGAGACGGCGTCTTTAGGGAGCCGCGGCTCCCAAAGCACATCCACTCCAAGGCGGAGCGGGAGGCGCGCGCAGAAGCGGCGGCGGCGGCGGCGGCAGCGACGGCGGAGCGCTCTGGCGCGAGCGGCCCCGCTGGGGGCGATGAGCAGCTTGGCGAGCTGACAAGGACGTGGGCGGGAAGCACCGGCGGCAGCACTATCGCCGAGGCGATGCGCGCCTCCGGGTCGCAAGGCCTCTCCGCGACGCTCTCGAGCCGTTTGGCCACGCCAATTGTGCCCGTGCCGCACGCGCAGCGGATGGCGACCCTCCTCAGCAGCAGCGAGCCGGCGACGAGCCGCACCGTCCGCAGCGGTGGGTTTGGCAGCAGCAGCCTGCGGCCGCGGCCGCAGTCGTCGAGGAGCTAGAGGCGCGCCGTGCCAGGCGGGGGACGCGGTGGGTGGGGGGGGGGGGGGCAACGCGGGCCGCGTGTGTGTATCCGAATCCACACGACACATAAATAAATAAAAACGGACACCTCTCTACTGTGAGATGGGTAAAAAGGAACAGGCCCCCGCCCTTGCGATCTTTGTGCAGGGTTCTTTGTGTGGGTGTGGTCGCACTAGCCGGGGCGTCCTTCTTCTTCTCTCCCCGACGATGGGGGACTAGCACTAGCCGTCTAGGCCTTCCACATGGTCCCTCGCGGGTCCCTGACCAGCCCCTGCTGTGTGTGTGGATATCCTTGTCAATCCTTGGAAGCCCTCCCATGAGCCATGTAGCTAGCTAGCGTCCTTTTGCGAGTTGCCTTGAAATGGCAGCCAGCAAGGCTGTTCGGGTCGGTCTTCGCGTGCCGCCGCTCGTCATCGCCTTGGTGTCGCCCTCCTGTCCCTGCCTGCATTCTTTCTTTTTCCATGCGGGTGGCACCTTTTCTTTTTCGCACGACACTGGGCACGGGAGCGGCCCGGCGTTTTTTTCTCAAATCCACGCAAACTTTTTTTCATCAAACCCAGGACGCGGGGGCCGCGCACCCGCTCGCCTCCCAGCCTCCCGACCCCTCGAGCGAACCGCCAGCGCGTGGAGTGGGTGAGCCGCGTGATGAGCGACCGCGAGGCGCTGCAGCGCCTTTCCGGTGGCGAGAACTGCTTGCTCGGCATGGTGACGGGCGTGATGGCCAAGTCGTGCAATTACCCCTTCCTCGTCTGGAAAAACACGCAGCAGCAAGGGCTGCCGATCTCGACGACCTGGACGACGGCGAAGGGCTCGTTCAGCCCGCTGCAGGTGTACCGCGGCCTGCCGATGGCGTGCATGAACCTGGGCGGCACCAACGCCGTCCAGTTTGGCGCGACCGGCTTCTTCCAGAAGCTCCTCGCGGGCTCGGGCATGGGCCAGGACGGGGTGCAGGTGGGCGGCGCCTTCCTGGGCGGGCTCGCGTCGGGGATCCCGTGCAGCATCTGGGAGCTGTGCATGATCCAGCAGCAGCGCTTCGGCGGCAGCACGCTCGGCACTCCCGCGAGGATCGTGCAAGAGTACGGCGCCTCCTCGCTCTCGCGCGGCGCGACGATGACGATGGGGCGCGAGGCGATGTTTACCATGTCGATGCTGGGCGTGACGCCGCTGATCCAGCAGAAGCTCGTCGAGTCCTCCGGCTGGGAGCGCAACACGGCGCTCGCCGCCGGCTCGCTGAGCGGCGCGCTGCTCGCCGGCGTCATCACTCACCCGATGGACACGATCAAGTCGTGCATGCAGGGTGACTTGGGGCGCGCCAAGTACGACGGGATCGTGCAGACGGGGAAGGCCATCGCGGCCGAGCACGGCGTGGTGCAGGGTCTCTTCAAGGGGCTGTTTTACCGCATCGCCCTCATCTCCACCACATTCTTCCTCGTCAACACCTTCAAGCAGCGCACGGTGCCGCTGCTCTTCCCGCACGCGCTGAAGGAGGCCGACAAGGCGCGGTAGGCCCCGCCGCGCCGCACGCAGGACGCCCCGCGCACAATGGTACGTCTATTCGCGCCGCGCGCTCCTCGGACGCTGAGGGCGCCTGTTGCGCCGTGCGCTTGGGGCGTGCCCTGCCGCCGCTGCCGCCGCAACCGCAGCCATCGGCTGATATGCGATCCTTGTGTATTTGGTCGGCGTGTTCGTTTGGCGACACCCGCGCTGCCGGACCCGGACTGCGCCAGCCCGCGCGCCGTTCTCTCGAGCGTAGCGCGCGGCCGGGCCCCCCCGTTTTCGTTGTCGATTGTCCTCATTTTGTCGCGCATATCGTCACGAGTGAAAGTACTTTGGAGAGTGAAAGTACGCTCACACTGTCACGCCCTCACGCCTCGCTCCCGAGACCCGAGCCGAAAGGACACTCGTACACGCACACAAAACGTTGACTCTCATATAAGATATATGTCACACTTTGATCGACACTCGCGGGGTCTCCCGCGCTCCAGCGGGTGTGGGTCTCTTGCCGAGACGACCCCGACGAGCTCCTCGCGACCGGCTCACGCCTCGGCGGCCCGCTCGGCCGTCGCCGCCGCCAGCTTGAGCCGCATCGACGTGAGCAGGCCGAAGAAGCAGGCGGCGATCGTGTTTGTGTTTGCCTGCACGATGAGCACGTCGAGGGCCTGGACGGTGGCGGCGGCGGCGCGCCCGTCGAGGACGACGGCCGAGCCCTGGGTGAGCGCCTTGGCGGCGAGGTTGCCCACGATCGCCTCCGCGCCCACGATTGCGATCCCGATCCCGACGAGGTTGAGCGCGGTGCCGACGTACAGCGCCCTTGCTGCGTTCGACGCGGCGCTCGCGGCAGTCCAGCGCTCGGGCCGCCTGCGGATCCGCACGGCCAGCCGCGTGTAGCCCCACTGCCAGAACGTCGACGCGAACGAGGTGGCGCATGCCGCCAGCGCGAGCGCGCGGCCCGCAAGCGCCGGCGCACTCACACTCGCCGACGACACCGAGTTGGCAAAGAGGAGGAGGACAGCGCCGACGACGGAGAGCGCTCCCTGCACCCACCAGTTGAGCCAGCCCCACGACCACAGCCGCGACGCGAGCTGCGTCAGCGGTGTCGGTGGAGCAGTAGCCGTGAGCACCGGCGTGGTGGTGCGGCATGCAGCGGCGGCGCGAGGAGCCGAGAGCGCCGGATTCGCGGCGCGGACGGGCGAGGCGAGAGTCGGCCGCGCGCACGCTGCCGGAGGCGGGAGGCGGAGCGCTGCGGTGCCCACAGAGAGGAGGAGCAGAGAGCCTCCGCGCATATGCATGTGTGTATTGAGCAGTGCTGTTGCGGAAGAAAAGCCGCTGCGTGTAACACGAATCGAAGCGTACGACTTGCTAGCACGCTATTGGCATGCCAAAAGGTAAGGCCGAAATCGTTATTGTTCACACCTCTTGCAGGTGTGAACACAAAGGATTAGCTGTATCTGCTCAGCTTACACTTCCTGTGTCATCCTGTGAAGCGAGAGAGAGAGAGAGAGAGAGTTTGTGAAGCGTGAACAGCGACACGATTTTTTTTGAACAGCGTTCCTTGAACGATATCGGTGTCGAAACACCGCTCTGACAGCGCTCAACAGTTCCGTTTGTTTCTGCTTTGCCCCTCCCTCCCCCCATCCCTTCCCTTGGGTGGTTGTCTGTTTTCTTTATTTCTTTTTCCCAGTGTTGTGCGAGGGAGTTTTGTTGTAAAATTCTTTCCCCCCCGGTGGTGTTTCTCTCCCTCGGCGCTCCTCCCGCTAGAAAAAAAGATGATAGATGTCCCGGCAACCGTCCCGCACCCGCACTGTCGACTAAGGCGATGGCGTCGGAAGAGTCTCTGAGTCTATGGTCGGATCGAGCCACGCACGCGACAGCGGTGGTGGCGGGCGCAGAGGGCTGGGCCGGCGGCGGCCCGCGGCACAACGCGCCGGAGACCTCCTGCCCCGCTGCCCGCCGAGGAGACCGACCGGCGGCAGCTCTGGCCTTGTCACCCGCCCGTTGAAAGAAACTGAACGAACGCGGACCGAACAATTTTCTTTTAAACAAGTGGGGGGGGTCTTACCTGGTCGGAGCGGGCAATTCTTTTCTCCAAAGGCAGGGCCCCCCCCCCGCCGCCCCCCGTTGCATATATCCGCGGCTGCAACGCGGACATCCTTCGAGTGCGCGTGCGCCTGTGAGGAGGCCCGCCCGCGCGAAGGGCGTTAGACCGGGGGACTACGTGACGGCCAGCGCGGCGCCCGGCGACGTGGCTGATGCTGCCGAACCTGGGAGCGCGGACCCCTGGAACGCTGGCTGGGAGCCGGGGCCTGAGACGCAGGAGCGGCCCACGGCGCCGTACATCTTCTACTCAGGCACTGCTCATGCCGCGCTCCCCTGGAGGGACGCCCCTACTGTCGCTGGCGATGGTAGCAGCCGGCCCCATGCCGACGCCGCAGCTGCCTGGCCTCCCGGCGGCCCCCTCCATTCCGCCTTCGTGCGGCACCCTGCGGGAGTCCGCCTGGCACGGGCAGCCGCTGGGCACCGCTGCCGCTCATCTTAAAGTCGGCGGACTTGTAGAGGCCTCAGCTTCGCAAAAAAGACCCGATGCAGGGCTCTCTAGCCCGTAACCCGATGCCAATCATCCGGCCCGCTGGGTGCGCTTCTGAGCTCCCCGGCCCTGGATGTGCGGTTGATGACTGCACTCCAAGTGCTCCAAGTGCGCGGCGGCCTGCGACGGCCCGGGATGAGCTCCCCACGATGCGACTAAGCGAGATCAATTGACCTACTGGACCTATAGTCCACCCCTATCATGTCTATACTGACTGCAGACGACCACATGCCACACAGCATCACGCACAAGCACAAGACCCGGGATCGCAAAAAAGACCCGCGGTGCTCACACACACCCACGCGCTCGTGCATGCCGAACCAGCTCTAAAAAAATACCACCGGGACCGCCTCGCCAAGGCGCACAATAGTCCTCAGTCTGGCGAAGGCCAATTCTGTCATCCTGGGCGTCAGCAGCGTGCGACGACAGCGGTCTTCGTTGCGCGGCAGTCTTCTCGCGCAGCTGAGGCCTCTATGAGCCGTGGAGAGATTCGCAGCCGTCCCTCTGTTGATCGCCCGCAGTCTTTTGCGCAGCTGAGGCCTGTGGCGTGAATGCTTTAGCATTCTCGCCCGCTCTGCTGAGGGGAGGGGCAGGACGAGCGGTCGCCTGAGGCGCCTATCTATCCACCCTCTCTTGTGGTTTGCCAGCGGGGCACGTGGCCAAGGACGACGTTTCAGATCGCGCGTCCGCTTGTTTGCGCACCCGCGTGCTCGTCCACGCCACTGTCCTCCCGCCCCCTTTGATCTCTGTCGCCTGTCGCTGATGTCTGCCATTGAGACGCTTGTGGAAGTGGCGCTTGCTAAGGCCACCAAGGACAGTGCCGTGCATGGCGTGGACAAGGATCAATACCTGTTGTGTTCCTCTGTCGTCAAAGCCGATGTGCGCAATTACCATACCGTCAAGGTGCTGCAGAAGGGACTCGACGAGAGCCAGGCCAAGGCGGCCGCTCTCGCCCTGCTATCGCAGCAATACCCTCAGCTGGCCGCAGGCGGAGGCACCGCCTCGGATGGCCCCGCCGATGCGGCAGAGAAGGTTGTCAAGACACTTGAGCGTTTGTCGTCATCACAGTTGGGTCACCTGGCCGCGGGCTGGGCCACGCAGCTCGGAGAGGCATTCACCAACGCGAGCATTCTTTCGACAGTGGAGGCCGGCTCGCTCGCGGGCCGCACCGGCAGCGGCAAGGTGCCGCTCGAGAGCGGTGAGGAGGCGCAGATGCCTTACACCGTCATCCAAGGACCATCCGAGGGCATGTACGTGCTCGAGGAGAGCGGAGCGCAGGGCGAGCCACGACGCTCGGTCATCCTCAACACCACGCTGGTGACCCTCATGCTACAGCCGACGCAGGCACACGTCGTCTCGAACGCGACGCTTGTCAAGATCAACGGCTCGAGCAGTGCTCTGGCTGTTTTCCGCAAGTTGCCCAAGTCAGGCAGCGCCGCCGAAGACCACGTCTCGCTAGAGGAGATTCTCCAGTTAGCAGACGGTCTTCCGGCCGCGGGCGCGGTCTCGCTCTCGGGAGAGGAGCGCGTCAAGACGTTCGCCCGGGCTCTCGAGGCCAAAGTCTCCGGCGGAGAAGGCTCTAGCTGGTTGGCGGCAGTTGGGGACAAGGCGACCTACTCCGTCTTCGAGCTTCGGAGTCAGCTCGAGAGGCTTGGCCCCGACTTCACGCCGGTCGCCGCGCTGCCCGCACCCAAGTCGTGCGCGGAGTTCTTCACGCGCAACATGTTCTGTTATCTGTTGGAGTCTTGCGAGTGTGTCCGTCGTCGTACCCTCCGCCGTCCATGCATGGTGTGTGTGGAGTGCTGTCTGTGGTGTTTTGTGGGTGTGTGTGGGGGGAGGGGGGTAGGGAGCAGCGCCTCCCCCCTCACCACGCATGTCAGGCGCGGCCGCCGCCGAGCGCGGCGGCCGCCCAGGCCTCGTGGCCGATTTGTTTGTCTCGCAAGAGGAGCGCATTTCTCAATTCAACTACCTCCTCTTCTTCGAGACCCTCTCGCGCTATGAAGGCGGGCGAGAGGAGGGAGGGGCCCCTTGCAGAGCTCGCCTCCACCGCTTGCGAGCGAGCACCCCGCCCCGACTTGCTTCGCATGCGGTGACCTCCCACGCGCTCCCTGGCCGCCCGCGCGACTCCTAGAGGACAGAGACCGTGGACGGACCCTCCCCACGGCCGCTCGCGAGCGCTCGGTGGTCAATCTCACCTCAACCACCCTCAGCGCGCGCGCGAGCGCGCCGCCACTCGGCCGCACGCGTGCACACTTGTGCCTGTGCGGTGTGGACGCGCTCTCGACGCGCTCCTCTGACACACAGGCGTCCCACTAGGTGTCCGCTGGTCCTCGACACCGCTGACGTCGCCACTATCGCCATCTGCGAAGGCTAGCCCGCTTCGTCGCCACGCTGCCCAGCGACGACGGCGCGGAGCTCATGGCATCGTCCTCTGCGCCTCTCGGACTCGAGTTGCTCGTTCCCGCCGGCGTCGCACAGCTCGGCATCGTCCGCGCCCGCAGCGAGTATTGCCTGACCGACGCCGACCTCCAAGGGCTGCCCCGCTCAGCGCATCCCGGCGCTGGCGTCATGTTCTCCGTCAAGGATCTCGCTAGCGTCGCCATCCTGAAGGGGTACCGCGAGCGCGGGCAGCGGGTCGTGCGTATCAGCAGGCCCGACGTCTCGCGGGCCGAGACGCTCTTCCTTCCCGTCGGCATCATGACCACGGTCGGCGAGGTAAAAGCCATGATGCCGGGACGCGCAGACCTCCTCGGGCGCCGGCCCGAGCTCTGGCTCCGGCCTGAGGAGCGGCGCGCTGGCTCCTTCTGACCAAGGAGCAGACTTTTTATTTGACAGAATACGCCGTTAGTCCAACCAGCAGATGTGAAAAATGGTAGCGAGAGTGCACACCCGTGTGAGCGTGCCCCACACACCCGTGAGGCGTGAGCGTGACCCATTGCCGCCGTGAAACAAGCACATGGCTAGCAATTGCAGGCGGCCCTCGCGCAGCGCAACGCCCCGCGTGCAGCGGAGGCGGCGACCGACGCCTGTCTGAGCCGTACGCGGGCGAACGCGCCCCGACACGCAGACTGACGCTGACGGCCGCAGCAGCCCTCGCCCCCGCCACGTGGCACCCCTCGCCCCCGCCACACCCGCGCGAGCTCGCCCGCTGTGGCGGCGCGGCGGTCACGGTAAAAGGCGCGACCGCACTGCCTCTCGGCCGCTCTAGCCGAGCCGAGGGCGCCCTCGCCCTCGCCCTCGCCCTCGTCGCCGCCGGCGTCCTGGGTCGTTGCGGTCGGTGTGGGAGGGCGTGATCCAAACGCAAGCGTTGGTTGCCGAGCTGCTTGCGCGGGGCCGGGACGCGGGAGGAGCGCCGGGACGCGGGAGGAGCGGCGGCTGCGGCGACCGACGCCGCGCCGCGAGCAGCGGGAGCGTCAGGATGGAAGTGCGCGACACACCCTGGCGATGGAGTATGAACAAGACGAGCGGGAGGGCACCGAGACACATGTTCGCCGCACCGGTGGATGGTCCAATGATGGTCGTCGTGCCTGCGCCGGCGGCTATTGCAGCGGCAGCGGCGATCGCAGCAGCAGGGCAGCTAGCTAGGATCACCGGCGCCTCACCCGCCCGTGGAAGCTTTGTGGCCTTGTCCGGCCACGTTGTACGGATCAATGTCGCCGGCGCCGAGGGATTACAAGCCGCGCCCGCCTGAGCGAGCGGCGTCAGCCAGCCGCGCAGCGCTCGGCGAATCTGAGTGAATGTCGGCGGCGCGCTCGCGACAGCGCAGCGCCGCACCGTGTGCCCTGCAGAAGGCGAGCGTCGTCGCCCGGAAGGACGGCATCGCGCGGAGCTGGCCCTATGGACGCACGATCAGCGCCGTCCGCGGCGCTTCCTGCGACAGGAAGCAGCAGGGGCTGTCATGCCGCCGGAGCGGTCTCGGCACCACGTCGAACGCGCGGCGGCGGGGGAGGTCTGTGGGTCGCCAGGGCGCGTGTGCGGGCCGAGGGTGCGCCGGTGGGCGTGTGGGGTGGGGAGGGTTGCTCAGGGGCGCTCACACGCACGCACGGCGACGCACGGCGCGATTTGCTTCGCATGCGGTGACCACAGTGGCCGAAGGGTGGTGTTTGCTCGCAAGCGGAAGAGGCGCTACCGGAGAGTAGGAATCGCCGCGGCCGGGTGTGTGTGTACATATGCCTCGCCGGGCCGGCGGCGGCGCCAAGGCAGCCGGCGGCAGCGCGGCGGCACCCGCAGCCAAGCGGCGGCGGAGCTCGGGCTCAAACTCTGCGGAGCCCGCGGCAGCCGCGACGGCATCGGGCGAGCGGCCGGCTGCAGCTGCGGTCTGCAGCATGCCTCCCGGCCTGCAGCAGAGCGCGACGCAGCGCGTCTCGCAGTGCCTACTCAGCACGATGTGCTCCCAGCGCGAGGAGCCGGCGCGCCAGATGTCACAGGCGCAGGAGGACGACCTGCGCGGCTTCTATGACCAATTAATGCGGCGGCTGCAAGCCGACGGCTGGGCGGAGGGTTGGTCGGCCGTCAAGTCGCAGATTCTCGAAGTCGTCGTCGAGCTCAATCGTCTCATCGACCGCGCCTCTCCTCGAGGCGGCGCGGGCAGCGGCGCGGCGGGCGGCGGCGCGGCGGGCGGCGGTGCGGCGGGCAGGGCCGCGGGCGGGGCTGGCAGCACGCGGCCTGTTCCAGTGCTGGGCGCCGAGCCCACCGCGTCGATGGAGAGCCTGAGCGGCGAGGCTGCTGGCTGCCGTCCGCGCGGCCGCAGCGGCGCCGCGGCGGCGGCTGCAGACAGCCCGCGCCGAACTCGTGAACGGCGCGGCGCTGCCGCCGCGCCGGCGTGCGCGGCACCGGGGCCAAGCAGCGGCGGCGGCGGTGGGGGCGGCGATGGGAGCGGCGCGGGGTTCGAGTTTCTCGTGAGCGGGACGGGCCCGCGCACGAGTGAGCTGCAGGCGGCGGGGAGCGGCTCGGTGCTGTGTGGCCGGTTTGGGCTGTGCGACATCGTGGTCGGGCACGAGAAGCGTGGCGGGGTGGAGGGCGAGAACCTGCTCATCGGCCGCGTGCAGTTCATCGCGCTCCGCACGGCGCACGAGGTTGCCATCTTCGACTGCTGGTCCAAGTGCGGCACGAGGACCGTCGAGCGGAGCGACGGGCGCGCGCCGCTGCTCTCGTCTCGGCCCGGCTCGCGCCGCGTGCTCCTGTTCGCGCCGGGCGAGCGGTTCGTGCTCGAGGTCGGCGAGACGGCGCGCGTCACCTTCAACCCGCGGGCTGCGGCTGCGTAGGGCAGACGTCGGCTCACTGGAGAAGATTTGTACACACGAACGAAAGACGAGTTGAGAGCTCATCATGTGTGTGTGGTGCAGAGGGGAGAGCTGTTTGAAGGTGCAAAATATCGTCGGCGCGCGGGGGGCGCCACCCCTCCGCGGCGCCGCGGTCCCTCCGCGCGCCCACACCCGGGGGGCACAGTGCCGCACCCCGCCACCGGCACGGTGCCACCAGCCGCCGGCAGCCGGCACACCTCTCACCTGTCTGGGTGTGTCTCTCCTGTGCCCCAGAGTGCAGTCCAGCGTGCACGACCACGTCCACGAGCTGCGGACGACGCGCTCGACGGACGATCACGATGCTCTCTGCGACACTACTCCGTTGAGCGCAGCATATACAGCTCTACAGGCGCCTCTTGCTCTTCTCTTCGCACGACTCTCTCCCGTCTTACATGCACATGCACATGTCATGTACATGTGCATGTGCTCGCTATGGTTGCAGCTTGGACGCGCCCACGACGCAATCAGGCGACCAGCCCAAAACACATCTCGTGAGCCACTGTAATTCGACTAAATCACGTGTCGCTCTAGTCCAAGTCGCGCACGACTGTCCTGAAAGTGTCCGCCCTCCCTCTCACGTCTCACACTTGAGGCCGAGCTCCGAGCAGAGCTCCTTCAGCGCCTGCTGCTGCTCGGACGACAGCTTGTTCTTGCCCACGCGTACGCGGTTCAGCTTTGGCAGGATCTTGCTCTTGTCTCTCTCGCGCTCCTTGAGGAACTGCATCACATGCTCCAGCCCCTCACCGCCAATCTTGTTGTTGAAAAAGTTGAGAAACTCCGCGTTGGGGCAAAACCCGTCGCGCAGCGAGTCGCAAAGTATCTTGGCGCCCTCGGGGCCGATCGGGTTGGAGGCGAAGGATATCGCCTCCAGCTTGTCGCATATCGGAAACCACTGCTGGACGAAGAAGCGGAGCTCCTCTGGACCCCAGCCGCTCGAGTTGAACTTGAGGTTCGCAGCGCATTGAATCGTGTTCGTCGCCGTCTTTTTGTACAGCATCGCGACCAGCTCGCGGTCAGCGCCTATTCGAGCAACGCCGTCTGTGAAGGGGCGCGGTCCACACTGCCACACCGTAGCCCGCTGACGGCGCCGTTGGTGAAGCACTTTGTCTGGAGGAGCTCTAGCAGTGCCTCGGTGGAGAGGGGGGGCGGCCGGACAAAGAGCTTGTCGACGCCGCGGCCGACGTCGAAGAGCTGAGGCCAGCCGCTCGAGGTCCACGTCTTTGCGAGCATCGACACCTGGTACTCGAACGTCGGCCAACCGCGCTCGGTGTAACGCAGCGCCGTCGATCCGGCCGGAGGCTCCGTCATGAAGAAACAGGTGGTCAGCTGGTGCGCGTACCAGACCTGCATGCGCGAGAGCGCCGCCTTGAAGGCCGCGTTCTCCATCGCCGTCCGCGGCTCGCCCGTCCTCGGACACTTTTGGTAGAGAGAACCATAGTCGTAAAAGACGGCCATCTCGCGGGGGATCTTCTCCCATGTGTACTCGCCGTTGGTGACCCCCTTGGACATGGCGCGCTCCATCGCGTCGCACAACATCACGAGGGTGGCGCCCTCCGGGTCCGGGTGCGCCGCCGTCTCCCAGCAGTGGCTCACAGCCAGGACGCTCATCGGCCTGCGCAGCATGCACACAAGAGTGTTGCAAGAGCGTGGAGCGGGATAGCCCGACTCGGGAGACGAGCATCAGGCGAGCAAGGGAGGGACCTGCCGGCGAACTCGGCGCCGCGCTTGAGCGCCATGACCTCCTCCACCGCATAGAAAGCCTCCGGATGCTGCGTCTCGATGTCCTATTGCGGCGACTTGCGCGTGATGCGGCTGTGGCTGTGCGCGGCGGGACAGGGAGCGGCGCAGCAACCTGCCGGCGAGGCAGGGCGAGGGCTCGCCGCTCCTCGACTGTGGTGCAAGCCTACGTCATGCAACAAAGGGCTTGCTTGCGCGCGGCTCGGACCGACTCATGTCCAGGGCTCTCGGCGCGCTCCTTCAGCTTTTCCGCACGCTTGATCAGCCAGGAGCTCCTCAACAGCCTCACGGGCGGCAGCGTAAGCCCACTCCGCTCCTTCAGCTCGTTGAAGATGGTTTCGGGGGCCTTGTACATGTCATCGGTCTCGGGCAGTGGCGCGGCGCTGATCTCTGTGGCGTCTACCTTCCCAGATGTTGCGTCTGAAGACGCCTTTGGCGCGCCCTGCGGCTTTGAGCGATGGACGGGAGAGCCGTTCGGGTCCTTTGTGCCTTCGCTGCTTTCGACCGGCGGAGTGACGCCCTTAGTAATTGCTACGAAGTTGAGTTCTCGGACCATCACTAAACTGTAGTTACGAATACGACTGCTTGAGAGTCACAACCTGTTGTCCTTAGCACATACTGGCGTTGGCATCTTGATAGATCTCTAGATCAGAATGGAGGGACCCGCGCTGTGAATGAACGGCAAAAGACGCCGTTCAGCGTTCTCACCATCAGAATGGATCGACGACGGCCGCCGGGCAGCGCGCCGACGACGAAAAAGAGGCGACGGCCGACAGCGCTCGTCCTACTGTCCATGCACACGACAGCGGCGACTCTCAAGTGCACCGAGCTCACTGGCTGGCGCTGCGTGCCCCGTCATTGCGGCGAAGACGAGACACTCGCCGAGGCTCACCGCAGGCACAGCACCACCCACGTGCGGCAATGCGCTAGGAAGTGCACGCAGTGGCCGGCCTTTACGCTACGAGAGCCGGCGGGCTGCTTCTGTTGGGCCTCTTGTGGCACATTTCAGTCGTCAAACTACTGGAAGGGGCGTGCGGTGACCTACTTGCAGCATGCAAACCAAAGCTTGCGGTCACCTAACCACTCCTTTCTTTTGCACCAGCGGGTCCGTTTCCCTCACGTCAACAATCGCCGTCGCAAGGTTGGCGACCGGCCCATGGTGGACTGCAGCTACCTTCGCCAGGCGTGCGTGACGCTCGGCCGGCCGCAGCCTCGCTGCTCGTCGCGGTGCCCGATGCGCGACCGCCCTTTCCAAATAGAAGTGCATGGCCCGCACGCCTCGGACGATGTCGCCATCGCACTCGAGCACATGCACGGGCTCCAAGACCCCCTCAATCCATTCGGCCCGCTCAGGCACCTGGAGCAAGACGTCTCCGTCGTCAGCGGGCAACTCCCGCCGGAGCCGGTGGAAACCAGGGCCGCGAGAATGCTGTGGCCAAAGTGGGAGGTGGGGTTCAGTGACGTCCAACTCACGACCATCCTACCTCTGGGCGCGGCACTGCACCAGGGCACACTCGGGCGCGAGCGGCTCATGCTTTCCGGTGCGCTCTTCCCGCAGTCGTGGGAACCGCTCGCCGCTGTCACAGATGGCATCTGCACCTTCGAGCGTGACGACGTCTTGGGCGCGTCGCGTGTCAAGGGCCAGCCGCTCCCACGCTGTGCGAAGCGGGAGTGCTTCGCGCGCTTGGGCCTGTGCAGGCCTGGCCACGTCTTTGGCCGCGATGCGTGGTTGGCACGCCAGGCTTTGGATACGGCGCTCGGCTTCGACGACCTTCGCGCGGAATCGAGGAGCTTCTACACGACCAGGCAGCGGCTGAGAGTCTTATTCACCATCCGGCGGTCAAGTCACGGTCGGGACATCGCCAATATCCCGGAGCTCCTGGCAGCGTGCCCGAGCTTTCGGCACCGGGGATGGTCCATCCACTGCAATGCCGTACCCTTTGCAACACTCAGCCTACGTGAGACGATCGCGCGCGTGCGAGCAGTGGATATGCTCGTCTGCATGAATGGCGGCGACTGCATACACGCCATGCATCTCCGCTCGGGCCGCACCTTGGTCGAGGCAATCAACCGAGGATTTGAGGACAACCCGGACGTTGGATGGCGGGACCTGTTTCGGCAGCGTGTGGAGCCGACGCTGCGGTTCAAGCGCATTGTCGTAGGCGCATTGCACGCTGGGGGGGAGGGCAATCTTTCCGATGTCACGCTCCGAGCCTCGCGCGCTAGGCGGGCGTGGAATCAGAACAACAACCTCAGCTGGACGAGTTTTAGCAGCGTGGTGCGATCCGTCATCGACGAGGACCCCTGCCGTTTGCGAGTGGACTGCAGGCACATACAATGATGCACATGTGCATGTGCATGCCGAGAATATGCTACAGAGCAAGCATAACATTATCGGGACTTTCTGCGTCTCACGAAGAGTGCGCGAGGTGGCAAAGTACCCTCACATGTACATGTCAATCGCGCAAACACACCCCCAATGAAGGCGTTGCACTCTTTAACATGGCATATTTGTTGTATTTACGTCAATCGATTCTTGAGAACCCGCGCGCTCTCTGTTTTCGTGTGTCTGATCAAGTGTTTGTCATACAGAGTCCGAGCTCTTCGTGTTCGTTCTACGTAAGTAGAATGCCGGGAGCGATGCTAACTAAAGCCGTAAACCGTTTATTGCCGTATATGTATGGGTAGAAGGTCGGCAGCGAGGCTATTTTTCGGTAGAAGGTCGGAGCGAACCCCGCACGTACGCGTTAATTTGCAAGACTGATTTAGAAAAAAAAATGGGCGGGAGGGGAGGGGGCGGGAAGGTGGATGGCCTCCTCCTCGACGTAGACGAGGCGACGGGGGAGAAGCTCCCCACCACTTCGCACGAGAGGATTGTGTCGCACATACAGGGGCAGCTGCAAGACCTCGGGAGGGAGAAGAGCGAGGGGGGAGGGGCATACGCCGCATCGGCGGCGTTCCGGAGCCGGCCCGTCGGAGGCTGGGGTACCCGGGGGAGGGGTCCGAGGGGGGGGGGGGGTGCCGTGCTGGGGAGACAGCGGGTCAGCCGGCGGACCGGAAGGCCGGGACCGGAGGGCCCCGGGTGAGGCCTGGAGTCAACTGTCGGGGGAGGTGAGAGTCGAGCTGACTCGGCCTCTGCGAGGGGAGTCGGGTCGTGCGAGCCCACCGGGGGTAGACCCGTCGCGGCGGCGGCTGGACCGCCGTGATCTACGACAAGAGGGACCGCGCCTCCCCGAGCTTAGTGAGGAGCCGGCGGAGGGGGAGGGCGAGCCGAGAACGATAGAGAGGCCGCGGATGCGGGCGCGACTCGCCGACCAGGGAGAGCGGGCCCGTCCTCCCTGGGAGGGGTGGCGACACGATCCAATGCCGCCGTCCTCGCCCGGGGAGACCCCGACCGGGCCGCCGACGCTCTCGGAGGCTGCGGTACCAGTCGAAGGCGAAGCGGAGTCGAGGCCACAGCCGAGGAAGAGGCATCAAAAACGACTACAGAGGCAGTCTGGTAACGCCCGGAAGGCGAGCAAGGGACCGGGACGAGCCGAGGGCTCGCCCTGACGGGCGAGGGAAGGGACTCTGGGACCGGAGTCGGGCGGGCGCACATGAGGCGTATCCGTGTACGTGCGTGGAGTACAGTGTTGTGTGTCCGTTAGCTCCGAGTAGAGGGGGCGTTGTGCAGTTAAGGGGAAACCCGGTACACGGAACTAACCCTCGGAGACCCGTGTTTACTTTACGGCCCTTGCCCTGCGAACGCGCACCCCCGGGGCTAGGGCTTTCTTGCCCGTAGCCCGATCCCGATCATCCGGCCCGCTGGGTGCGCTTCTTAGCTCCCCGGCCCTGGATGTGAGGCTAATGACTGCACTCCAAGTGCTCCAAAAAAACTTTCCTCCGAGTCTCATTTGGAGCGAAGATGTTCTCGCATATATTGCGCAAACTGTGGAGGCTGCGAATTCGGATGGCCGGTGTGCAGCGATACGGGCGCGCCACATCATACACGGATTCGCCGTTCCTGGTGACAAGTCACGAGGAGGAAATGCTTTCGGGGTTGTTTGTTTCGGGATAGTTTGTGTGGCAAAGTCGGTCTTTTGCGTCAGAGGATTCTTTTTGAGAGAGTTTTTGAGATGGGGGAAGAGTTTGGAGGATTTTTCAGAGTTAGAGTATGAGCGTTGCCGGTCTTGCCTGCTTTCGGCTCTCTGAAAGTTCGGCCATAGCAGACGGGCTTGGACGAGCGGACGTGCACGAAGATCGTCGCGAATTCTTCTCTCAGTGTGCTGTGGAGAGGCTGTCGTTGCTGTCTCTTCCCTTCTCGACTGTCTGTGCTTGCTTGTGCGTCTTGCTTGGGTCAGGGGTTGTGTTTTTGTGTGAGAGAGGCGAATTTTAGAATTCTTCTTAGTGCCAGTGCGCGCCAGTCCCGTGCCTAGTGTCGTGCGAGCGAGCTTGTTTGTAAAATTCTCCTGTGTTAGTGCCAGTGCGCGCCAGTCCCGTGCCTAGTGGGCTGGAGTTTTTAAAATTCTCAGTGCGAGGGAGTTTTGTTGTAAAATTCTTCTCTGTGGTGCGGGCGACGGCTTCTGAGGAAGCCGTCGCCCGCGCCTCGCCTGTAAATAAATAAAACGGACACACCAAACAAGGGGTGGGAGAAGGACAGGGTCCCCACCTGCACGAGCAGGATCTTGTAAGGACGATCAGGGACACAGGGGAACGGGAGTGGGGAGCGCATCGCCTGTCGCACGAAACCGGGGTAAACTTTCTTCTCTGAGAAAGTTCGAGCGGCAGGGCATTGTGTGTATATGAGCCTCGCTGCGGGCTTCGGCGCTGCCCTATTCGGCTCCTTTGGCTGGGGCACCTGGCCCGTCCTCATCAAGCAGCACGAGGCGAGCCTCGGGGACGGCTTCCTCTTTCAGCTGTGGATGTGCTCTGGCGTGCTGCTGGTCGGCCTCGCCACGCTGGCGGCGGCGCCGCCAGAGGACGGCTACGCCCCGGGCGACGACCACCTCGCCGGCGAGCTGCGGCCCCGACTGCCGCTCCTCTGCATGCTCACCGGCGTGCTCTGGGCATGTGGCAATGCCGCCACAGTCGAGATGGTGCGCTGCCTCGGCATCGGGCTCGCGATGGCGGTGCAGACGGGCACCTCGATCGCGGTCGCGTACGCCGCCGGCATAGCCGGCCCGTGCGTCCAGCACGAGTGCCTGCCTCCCTCTCAGCTCGGCCTCGCGTGGATGGGCTGGACGGGCTGCGGACTGTCCGTCTGCGGCCTGCTCCTCTTTGCGGGCGTGCAGCCTCCGACGGCGAGCGAGCCGGCGTCGCGCCGGCGAATGGCGTCGGGTCGCTACCTGAGCGTGGGCCCGCTGGCGGAGACGGAGCTGAGTGTGGCGGAGCCGGAGGTGGCCGCCGAGTCGCCGCGTTCACCGTCGTCGGACGCTCTCGCAGACGCTATGCAAAACGGGCACGCGGCGGCCAAGGATGCGGCTGCAGTGACCGGGCTCGCGCGAGGCGGCGAGGAGGCGAGTGCAGCGGAGCTTGGGGAGTGCGTCTCGCGCCTCCGCCTCTCCCTCCACCCCTGCAGCTCTCTGAGTAGGACTCGCCCCCGCCGAGCCCTTCCGAGGCACCCGTCGACGAGGACTGCCTCCCCGAGCAGAGCCTCATTGCTGCATGCCGGCCAAGATTCGGCCCGTCGGAGCCCCTCACAGCTGTGCCTCCCTCCGATGCGGACGCGCTTGCCGCACCGCCGCTGCGGCGGGCCGGCCGCAACGGAGCGAAGGGCGGGCCGGCCGCCGGCCCGAGCGAGCCACGTGGCGGGTCTGCGGTCGCAGCGGCGGCTCTGCCCGCGGTTGGGGAGTGGGAGGGCGAGGAGGCGACTGCGCCGCTCCGGGGCAAAGGCGGCTCGCTCGGCGGCGCGTGGGTGCGCGGCATCGCGCTCGCGCTGTACGCGGGCTGCATGTACGGCGTCCAGTTCCTGCCGTGCGCGATCTACGTCATCCGACACCCCGACACGGACCCGGCCGCCGGCGCGCTCCTCCGCCGGATGCGCGTCACCCTTGCCCAGTTCCTCGGCTCGTTTTGCGGCGCCGTCGGCATCTACGCGGCGTACGCGCTTGGAGCGCAGTGGCGCCGCCTCGCGGTTCACGCCGTGCCGTTGGAGGCGATGCTGCCTTCCATCGGGGCCGGTCTGCTGTGGGGCGTCTCTACAGTCTGCACGATGGTTTGCGATCTCGAGCCGCTTTGGGCGTCGGCTCGAGAGCGACGCCGCTCACGCCTCACGCCGTGAACAGGTTGCGATCGACACGCTCGGTTTCGGGATCGGCTACGCTCTCTCCTCCAACGGCATCCCCCCCCCTCCCCCCCCTTCCCCCAAACCTTTGCCACAACCCCTCCAAACCCCCCCCTCCGACCCCTCCCGCAGGCGCCTTCCTCGTCTCCATCCTCTGGTCTCTCTTCGGGTACAACGAGATCCGCGGCCGCCGCAACTTGTCGCTCTTCTGCGCCGCCGCTCTCTGCAACGTCACCGCCTCCTGCCTCATCGCCGCGCAACGATCCCTCGCCTCTGCGCCGCCGCCGCTGCCCTCTCCGCCGCTGACGCCAGTGCAGCTCGGCCCAACGCCGCCGCCGCCGCCACTGCTGCCGCCGCCGCCGCTGCCGCTTCTCTCGGTGTCGGGTCCGCCGCCGTCGAAAGAGGATGTCGCGCGGCCGCCGCCAAAGGGCCTTCGCCGGGGCCCGCCAGCGGCCGCCGCCCTCACTCAGGACGGGGCCCCAAGCAAAGCGGCAGCTGACAGGGCCACTTCCGCCCCACAAAACTCGACGCGCCATTCGGGAACCTTGCCGCGGCGGCCGCCCCCGCCTCCGCCATCACCTCGGCCACCTCCGCCTGCAGCTGCACGCCAGCGGACTGCGCGGCGCATCGACGGCCGCAGGACCTCGACCCGAACAGAACCGCAGCGAAAGATTGACGCGGCCCCTGCCCCGAATATACTGCAGTGACAGTGAGTGTTTTGCGGGTTGACAAATTTGTGGCGTTCTGTGAGTATACTGCAGTCTGCACGCCCTAGACCGCTCTCCCCCCGTCCCCCTAATATGTTTAACTCTCTTTTCACAGCATATTCACTTTTTCAGCTTTCAGGACAACGTCTGTGGAGAGGGTGAGTTGACCAGGGGTTGTGCGCCGGGCCCTCCTGCTCGGCTCCAGCGAGTAGACAAGTGTTGTCATCAACAGAGTAGAAGAATCTGACCTCGGGGCCGATGTGACCAAGCGCTGGTAGCGTGGTTTTACCTCCCACCCATGGTCTCACAGTGTGCCAGCAGTCGCCGAGGCGACCAGTGTCGCTCACACAAGCCGCAGCACAAGTGACTGAGGGCCAGTGAGGGCGAGCCCATCGCTGTCACAGCTGTGGCAGCCGCACAGTAGGCTGTGCCATCTGTGCAGAGCGTGTGAGCAGCAGAGGAGCTGCTCTCCAAGCTTCAGGCGCAAAGAGCTGCATGCCACCGAAGGCGCTGTCGAGGTTCGCCGAGCGCGGCGCAGGTTGGAGGAAGCCGTCACCGACGAGCGCGTTTATTCGCCAGCCGAGCGTCGTGTGACGGCCGCTGTAGCCGTTTCTGATGTCTCTTCCGATTCTCGTTGCTCTTCTTGAGCGCAATGTTCAAGCCAAACAGTTCTCACAAATAGCCTCAAGCTCAAACAAACGCATGTCACAGAAGCCTGTGTATGCTGGTCCTCTTTGAACGATCCGCGAGTGAGGTAGCATAGGGCCTTGTTGGCAGCAGCCAGCTTGTTGCGCTGCTTCGTTGCGATGAGCTGATTGGGATCGCAGAAGTGCATGCCAAGCACCGCCACGATCTTGAAGCAGAACACATCGCAACCGCATCGTCCGCACTGCCATCGGCATGCCGCGCCCGCCGCTTCGCCGCAGCTGCCTTAAGACACGCATAGCGGCAGCAGAAGGAAAGGTGCGCGTACTTGAGCAGGAGTTGCGCGCCGCAAGTAGCGCACTGGCCCTGGGACAAGGCGATATGGCGTCGTGCGCGGCATACGTTGGTCGGGACGCGTCCAGGTATTTTTCGGGTAAACCTGGACTTTTGCAGGTATGTCACGATAGCTGCGCCGCCTCACTCTGCCCGTGCGACGCGCTCTCCCGCGCCGCCTCGCGGCCCGCCGCCCGGCCGGCGGCTCCTGCCGCGTCCTTCATCCCGCCGCCGCCGCCGTCGTACAGCGACATCACCTGCTTGGTCACCAGCCGCCAGTACTGCCTCGCGTCGTCCGGCATCGCCGGCCAGATCTCGCGCCACACGTGGTTCTTCATGTGCTGCAGCGCGACGTAGATCGTGTTCTCGCCGCGACCCGTGCGCACCGTCGGCTCCTCCTCCCGCGCGTCGCCCTGTTCGGTCGCGTGCCACCGGCTCGCCCTCGGCGCGATGATTCGCGTCGTCGCCCACTTGCCGAAGCGGATCGTCCACCGCACCGTCGGGTGCAGACCGAGGGCCGTCCGCTGCATCGGCACGCTCTTCCCCGCCGCGGCCTGCGTCGCCAGGAACTCGCGCAGCCGCAGGCGCACGCGCCGAAGCTGCACCGACAGCGCCGGACCGTGGGGCGCTAGCATCGGCCGCCCATCGCCGCGCGCGGCCTCCTCCTGCTGCTCGTCATCCTCCGCCTCGAGGGCGTCCGCCAGCGCGCTGCGCCGCACACCCCGGCGCACAGGAGGCGGCGCCGGCCGCACCTCGGCCGCCTCGGCGGCGCCCGCGGCACGGGCGCCATGCTCGCCGTCCGCGCGGTCCATCGCCGCATCCCCATCCCCGTCTGTGGCAGCGCCGCCTGCGCCCGCGCCGGCCTGCTCTGGGACGGCGCGCCACCGCTCGTCGTCCAGCATGTTCCACCACCGCCGATCCGTAGCCGTCGTACTCGACCTCGTGCACGATCCGTCCGTCTCCGTCCTCCTCCCGCGCCAGTGACGGTCGCAGGGTACCACCGCTCACTGTCGCAGAAGATCTCGAGGCG